AGACTGGAGCACAGAACGAAGCACATTGCTCTTCGCTACTTCCTTGCTCGTGAGCTACAGCAGCGTGGTCAGCTGCGACTTGCGTACGTGGCCTCTGAGGCCAACACTGCTGATATCTTCACCAAGGCACTTGCGCCTTGTGATCATCAGCGCTTCTGTACCCAGCTGGGTCTTGTACCTACCTTGCCTCACTTGCTCACCTCTTGACCTTGTTTGTACTGTTGCATATATATATACTCCTGCTCTTGCTTGTCTAGCCTTATATATATGTGTAATCCTGCATGTGAACTGGCCTTGTGGCCTTGAACTTGTGCTCGGAATGTGTGGTGACTTTGTGATCCACCCTGAGCTTGCTTTGCTTTGCTTGACTGGTCTTGTGACCCCTTGTTCTCCCCCACTTTGCCTATGGGGGTGTGTCAGAGTTATATGACATAGCTACTGTAGGCTATAGTGGGGTAGCACATATGGGGTACAGTTGCCTAGGGTTTGCCTTTTGTACCCAACTTTCACTTAGTCATTTCATTCCTGTTTTCTTGATTCACAGTTTTGTATGAGCGAATGCTCAATTGCTCCGTCGGCGACATATTCCGAAGAAGAACCCCGTACGACATCAGAGACTCGTTGTAATACTTGGTTCTTCCGTCGTCAGTGTCCTCCGTGGGTCCCGAGTAGCTCCCGTCAAAGTAGTGGAAGATCTGCGCGTTTTGCAGCAGCAGCTCCAGTTCGAAGCTCCAAGTATAGAAGTCTCTGCCGTCAAAGCACACACTTGTCTTTATTTTTTATATGCTCAAAAACCTTGATTGCGCAGAGAGAATTGCTTCATCGCTGGGACAGGGAGTCTTGGGTGTTGAGCCGTTTCTGTCAAGAGAGAAGCCTTGCGGGGCGGAGTTCTGGCCATTCGAGGCCGGTTGAGTGGGTTGGGAAGATGTTCCCGCATCGCCATTCCGCAATGTTTGGAGTCCTTGCTCCATTCTCGTGAGTCGCTGAAGCAGTTGTGCGAGGACAACGGAAGGGATTGTCGTCGTTTCCTCACTTGTCGCAGCCGGGTTGGGCTGCGCTTCAGCCGTCAGATTCGTCTGACCTCCAGATCCTCCGGCCATTCTCGCACGTGAGCGTGTGCCGGACGCCACTTTCCGTTCGCCGAAGATTTCGGTGGTGGCGTTGCGAAGGATTCCTGAGTCGCTCTCATTCCATGTAGCGATCAGAAGTTGATCGACCTCAGGATCACCTCAGGAAGGTTCGCACACTCCTAATCTAGTGGTGGTGGGCCCTTGACCTCAATAGCAGAGTGAATGTAAATGCTTGAGATAATAAAAACATGCAGTACAAGGAATATAAATAAGATTACAAGGGGATACCAATCGACCTAGCTAGCCATGTACTCTAAGGGGTACATTCCCTTATTGCAGCGAAATCCAACCGTGCGACTCCAGACAGTTACGAAACTGTTCGGGCAGAATCCTCGCCACTGTTGCTGCCTGATGCTGTCTGCCCGACGATCCAGATCCTTTCGTAACCATGTCACTCTTCGTGCCACTTCCGCCTGTTCGTCTTCATTCTCGGTAGTGCGTGCTTCGATTGCTGCGGTGAGGAGTGTACAATAGTGTTTCAATAATCACTATTCGTAACAGCTGGAACCCTGATTTGTCAGGGTGGGCCTAAAGCAATTTTGGGCCCTGCTCTGACCTGAGGTCAACACTTCCGCTGCAACAAACTACCTGCGATCAACCCTGAGACGATCCTTCGCTAAGTCCTGTTTAGGACTGTAACACAAACTAACCCAAAAAGCGAGGTAGCTCTGATACCAAGTGTATATATGTTTTCAATGAGAAGAGCGGCAGTCAATATCGAAGCAGTGATTACAACTCCTAATGATATTAATGAAGCCTAGCACATATAGAGTGAAAGGCTAGGCGGAGTTCGCATTGTCGTGGTTGGGTGCTGGTTAGGGGTTGCCAAAGTCCAAAGGCGACGCGAAGTAAGTTCGGAAGGCGAGGTCATCTCCGAAAGTTGGATTCGCATGCGTAAGGAGTGACCGAGTAAGGAATAAGAAAATTTATAATTCTCTTTATAAAATGTATGTATTGTCGGGGCAGGTGTTACTACCGGCGGCATTAACAGCAAGAGGCGGAGAAGTTGTCGCTTTCGAGAAAACATCCGAAATGATAGCTTCAGAGTTGATTTCTGCGTTGCAGCTTCCCGTGTAGGTTCGCAGTGAAATCGTGATCGCGCAGGAGAGTTATACAGTAATTTGCATGCAGTTGACAGTGCTACAGTAATGAAAGTGGAGCCAAGTGGACTTCACTGCAGCTCTTCACGTGTGGGCGGCTCTTTTTATTGTTGCCATCAGGCTCGATGAAACAAAGGGTGACCCAGATTTGAGGCCCGTTGCCGAATTCGTGTGGTCGAACTTCAGGATTACGTGGTTGGAAAACCAAGCTTGATGTATTATCTAGCGCCGCGAATAGCAAACACCAAAGAGCCCAGACGTACCGATGACAGTCATTTCAACTGTAGTTAAGATAGCTAATTATCACAGCTATTTGCTTAATTACCGTTCATAATCTACCCAACTGCAACTGCCATACCCTTTGGCATTCTGGCAACTTTGAGACCTGCCGCCCGCTAGGATATTGCTATGCGATGGCGGGAAAGTGGGTTTGTGGGTGGTTCGTTGACGAAATGGAGTCACATGTACAGTAGCAGTTCTGTCCGGACTTCCGACACCTCGAACCTGTGGTGGAACAGCACAGTAGATTTACGAAAGAACTACAGTAACTAGGTTCTCATGTTGATGCAAGCGTACAATGTTTTTTTTTATGCGCCTCTTCAAGTCTACACTGAGTCTAAAATCACGTCTGTGAATGCATTCCTGTAATGTACTTGCTTTGATGTCACAAGATTAGTTACACGATTTGGGGTCAATTGTTAAAGCCCAAGACCTGAATTGCTCAACGCAAGTCAACGCGGGGCAAAACTGTGGGCTGCGGGAGGCAAACTGTGCACAGTTTGCCTTAGTTTATTTTAATTCGGGTTTCTGCAACTGTCATGTCGAATCCCAAACCCGACGTGGACGACCACCTGCTGCAGTTACTTGTGTCTCGTTCACGAATCATTCCCATCTCACCTGGCTGGGCTGGTTGTGCAAGGGGAGCGATCTTTCTTTGCCACCCTCTTTGGTGCAGTGTGTGAGCTGCAACCTGGTGTTGTCACTCACCGATTTTTCCCATCTCAAAACACAATCACCTTATTAGTATTACTAGTATGGATTCTGTCAATCCAGAAAATCCAACAGCTATCGTTGGCGTGCACGCCATGGCTTGTGATTATATATCCTGAATACATGCAGTCACCGCCTTTACTTGCTGCCGTTGCATGTCATTTCCTGACCATACGCACTATATGACAGGCTTGTAACCGTTGTTTCCGCTTTTGTTCCGGAGGCAATTCTGAGGGTTTTCGACTCGCCGCAGACTGGCCACACGAGGATTTGATCAAACCCGGCGTTGAATATTTCTGAATTCGAGAATAATAGGTGATTGCGACCCAACCAGAAAGCTTCATGCAGAAATTGGTAGTACCGTCCAACCTGACCTGAGCGATTTGTTTTGAAACAGTCGGATTTTGTGTCTTCACTGAACGTGTTCCTAGGGAAAATCCAGCGGGAACCTTTGATGTCGCGCAAAACACGGAATTCGGATGGAGCTCGTGTGATATTGGAGCAAACCATCCGTCAGTCAGGAGAAGCGTGGTTACAAAGGAGGCCTGAAAACCCGGAGGAAAGTGACTAAGGTCCAACGGTGGACCCTCCTTCAGGAATTGCAGCTCACAGGTCAGACCAGAAAAATAGCACTACAAACATCCGCGTTTCCTACTCTTGAGTGTGTCAATTTCATCATCGTCACGCTTTACATATCCAGGAATTGAAGATGGTGCAGATCTGTTATTTCCAGCATTACTGCTAGCTCTAGCCTAACAAAAAAGGCGAATTAGCAGTGCTCTTATCATAAAAAAATCTGCACGTCACGTGGTAACGTTTAGGATACATATTGGATCCCCATTCTTCCACTGGCACAAGACGGCAGTACTCTAAAAAATGAACCTCCTTTTCCCTTCTTGAAATCTCCTTTCACGTGCTTCAGGTTGGCAAGACGGCGACTCAGATCTCCTAATGCGGGGGGAAGTCAACCTTTCAGTAGTTTCAGAAGCTCATCTCATTGGTCACAGCATCTCTAGTACTACCACTGGAGCCTGCAGTGGCTCTGACTCTGCCAGCTAATGACTTCTGAGTCACTACAGATCGTCGAGTCTGTCAAGACGGTCATCGACAGCCGGAAGCTGTCTGTCGCAGCACCCTTGCCACTCCCGGCGCGACCTTTACCACCCATTTTGTTCTTGAGTCGACTCGCAAACAAGCCCGCTCTTGAGTTGTCTCCTCTCCTGGATGCTCTTTGCCCCCCCGAGGGATTGTGCCCCACTGGGTCCTCATTAGCACTGCTATGGCCTCCTCCACTCACCCGTCTCTCACACCAATGGGTTCCTTGCCTGAACACCGTCCTTCCCTTAGCACCATGGCCGTTGCACAGCATAATCCTTACAGCGATCCCACACGAACCACTCGTATTGCAACCCCGGCACACCCAAGCATCTCTAGTACTACTCTACCGCTCTCCACCACTCCGGTAGGCGTTTCCTTCAGCAGCCCTGCTGTGCTCTCGGCCTTCTTGGGGTCTCTGAACCCAGCTGGCCCCACAAGACAAATTCCTGCAGGCTTGGGCGGCAGCGATCGTCTGATTGGAAACGTTTCTTCCGTGCAAGTGCCGCAAGGAGGATTTGGATCTGCCGTTGGTAAGGACTCTAATAGAGGGAGAGGGCCCGGAGGCATGATTGCTGAGACCAGTGGCGCTACTACGCCCTTGGCTGTTCCCAGAGTTGGTGAATCTGATGGCGAGAGGAGGGGCGGGTCTCAAGGAGCGAGTGTGAGCATGACCCAAGAGGCT